AATTGACAAATTGACAGAGAAACAAAACAATAACAACAATAAACTTTATATTGTTAGACTGTCATGTAATATAATTACATATGCCATATATATGCATATTATATATAACATATAATTAATAGGAACGCATATGCTCTGATCTATAGCTAATTGATAAGAGACAAAATGATAACTAATACGTAAATATATAAGTTCAAGATCAATACTGGATCTAACTCAATTTTTTTTTTTTTTAAAGAAGATTACAATAAATCTATACTTGTTCTGTTTTAAGGTTTGTATCAACCTCAGATCTAACTCAAAAAAAAAAAAAAAAATCAAAGAAGATTAAAGTAAATCTATACTTGTTATGTTTTTAAGCTAAGGTTTGTCACTCTAATGAAACTTAGCTTATTGGAGTATTATTTTCTATCAAAGAAAAACAACCCACAAATATTTCACTTTCACTTGCTCCATCAAAGTAGGATTACCTAGTGTAGCAGCTTCAATTCATGAAACCCACAAAGATCGAGTTGGCTGAAGTGGATATAATTGCTCTTCTCAGCTAGCTGATAAACCACGAACCATTATGTTGGGAATATATAGATCAGATCAGAGCCAATCAGCCAAGAATAATAATCTTTCTATATGAAGATAGAGAATGTTTTGAGAAGGTAAAGAAGAAGAATGTGTGGAAGCTAAGGAAGATATATGCATTGAGAGTTAGAAGAAGCTAAGAGTAAAAGGAAAAGAAGCTAAGAAGAAGCTTAGATTATTGGATATGATCATCAATATAATCGTGATGCTGCTATATGATTATATCACATTTAATTTAGAGATTATCTCCGATCCGGCCTTTTGATGGACCGGACAGGTGTCATATACATTGAGCAAACCACTACAATTTAGTACTACTCTAATCAAGACCGTACCATTTTATATGCATCACTATTTAATACAATTTTTTTTAGTACTTATGAATTTTAAAATTTTATAATGTTGATTTCAAAGCAGTGAGAAAGTCTAGAAAGAGAGATGGGTTGAAATAGACTTTTTAGGTTTTTTTTTTGAAAATAATGTTAGTGAGCTTGAATTTCAAAATGAAGAGGTTTAAAACCTTTTAAAAGATAAATTGAGTTAATATTCAAAATATCCTCGACTATAATGTTTTTTCTCAATTTCATTTTAAACAATATTGGTGACCTAATGTAGTCTCTTTGCTCAATTTAATCCTCGGTTTATTATTCCGTCCATTTGGTATTAAATAGAGGGATAATTAAGTAATTTCAGTATTGACATATCTTTACTCCTAGACCTGCGAAATGCGAAATCCTTTTTTAATTTCTTTTACGAATTATTCTTAGAATTACTCCCAATTCTTGTACACTTTGTATTTCCCTACTGATTATTCTCGCTGAAGGTGTGCCGGTCTAGACTTAGAAGTTCTGACATGACTAAGGTCAAGTGATAAAACATCTTTCGAAATACCTTACAACCAATACACTTGGTCTACTGTATTGCTGGAAATGAGTACATTCAGCTTCCCTTTGGCAACCATTTACAACTGTCGAACCTCTTTCACAACTCCTAAGATCTGTCGAGGGTAAAACCTCTACCCAAAGGCTCTAATGGTTAACTAGAAACAAATGCGGAATCTAAGTTCCTAATATACATTTATAACATCATCAAAATCTATATAACAATTATATATTCCTAACAAATAGTTACATGAGTCTAAATCTCTTTACCATACTTGACATCAAGATTTTATTTAAGGAGGCACAATGCTTTGAGCGAGGCGAAGATCAACCTCCATGTCCCTTTGTTCTTCAATGTCTTCCGATCCATTTCCTTATAAGGCTCTTCTGCGTCATGCCGTCATGCCCATTTCTTAGTACGCAAAGCCCAATTTGAAGTTTTTAAGGTTAACTTAACGCATTAATTACTTGATCATTTCACCTACGCCTAATGACCTAAGTTTAATTTCTTGTGATACGTTAATTTCCTTTACTAATATATATAACATACAACGTTAGTTTCGTAACAGGGCCAGTAGCATTCAAAAAAAAAAACGTTAGTTTCGTAAAATTCTTTATTGAACCTAGATAGCACAAAGAATCAAGATTATTTAACTTTCTTGACATTATAGCTTCACATTTAATATAGAAAAAAAGCGGTTTTAATTTCTCAGTTTTTCTTGTTTAGTCGTCTTGGTTTTTGACAGCTCCCAATTGCAAATTCCTCAATATAGCCAAATATGTGCTAATTTGGTCCTATTGCTACTATTTGCCATCATTTAACACTTTTTTTTTTTTTTTTTACCATAAATGTAACTCAAACTTAATTGTGTTGGACATGCGCTTAGAGGGTCAAATTTAATATTCTATCTATGAAACGTGGTTTTGATGGTTACGCAAGTATAAGAAAATATAATTACGTTATCGCTACTAGTTATAACATTTGTAGGGATGTCAATCCGGTCAGCCCGTTCGATTTTAGGCTAATAACCCTATCGGACAAACACTATTGAAAATTATGGAATTTTCGACCACTTGAAAGTGATCTTAAGTCAAGTCGAAAGTCTTATTCCGACCACTTTTGGTATCCGGAAAAACCTTTGTTGCTATTTCTGACCACTTTTTGCTTTTGACTTGATTTAAGATTAATTTCAGGTGGTCAGAAATTTCATAATTTCCAGTAGTGAGACTGTAATAAGATTAAAAAGAAACAAGTAATAAGATTATTGTACTTCTCACTTTAATATATTAATCTTGCTTGTGGATTTGTTTATATTTTTAGTTGAATCTTTTCATGGATCTATAGATAATTTGATAAACCAATAATTTTTTTTTCTATGTTTCAAAATATCGTTAATCAACATGTTCACTCATTGATGTGACATGAGTGTGAAAGAGTTCCAAGAATCAGTTTTCTAATGGCTAAAATCACATATTTTTCACTGGTTGGAGTTAAATTTTAATCTATTGGAGTATGAATGAGTTATCTTGCCATATTATGATTTGATATGACAGATGGGATTATTGACTAACATAATTAAGACTTGTTAAAATTAAATTACTTTCTTTGTAGGATTTGATTAATCCGACTTAACTTATTATAATTAAATTCTTTGTATTAATTAGCAAAATATATACATACATTCACACATATTATGGCATGTTTGGTTCATGGAATAGGTCAGGAATGGAATCACATTTCTTGGAATAGACCTATTCCATCGTTTGGTTGGATCATTTTGCCATGGGAATAGCATGCCTAGGAATGAGCTATTACCTTCGCAAGGGGAATAGCTATTCCTAGGGGAGCCTTGGTATTAGCTATTCCCATGCCCTTGGGAATAGCTTTTATATCACAAATACCAAAAATACCCTTTGCACATTATATAATATTTATATTTATTTAATAAATATAGTGTATTATATACATGTATATATTTAATTAATTATAATTTTTATCCATCAATCTATCAATATATATATATATATATATATATATATATATATATATATACACACACACACACACACATTTTGTAGCGTTTGCAATTGGCATTTCGAGAAAATACTTTTCTTTTCTCAAAATACCAATTGCAAACACTACAAAATGTGTGTGTGTGTGTGTATATTATATATATATATATATATATATATATATATATATATATATATATATATATATATATATATATATATATATATATAAAACTGTATAAGACTCCTTAATTATGGAGCCTTGACTCCTAAATTAAGTAGTTTTCTCATCTGCATGCCTAGCGGATGGGCATTGCAAGCTTGCCTAGCGGATGAGCATTGCAATTAAAATTATGGAGCCTTGAGGCTCCTTTTATAGGAGCCTCAAGGCTCCATTCCTTACTTCTCCAACCGATGTGAGATAAATGAGAAAATAAATATAAATATGTATTTGTATAATAATAATAATAATAATAATAATAATAATAATAATAATAATAATAATAATAATAATTATTATTATTATTATTATTATTATTATTATTATTGTTATTTTTATTCTCTCTCTCACACACACACATACATATACATGTATATATATGTATGTATATATATATATATATATATATATATATATATATATATATATATATATAACATTCAGTATATCATAATCATATTCATTATTATTATTATTATTATTATTATTATTATTATTATTATTATTATTATTATTATTATTATTATTATGTATAAGGTTATTTATGTCTTTAAAATCGATTCCATTTCTATTCCTTTAACCAACCAAACACTGGAATACAATTACTAAAGTCTATTCCTTCAGTCAACCAAACAACAGAATACAATTCATATTCTATTCCTTACCTATTCCATTCCATGTGGAATAGCATTCCTATTCCCTCCAAATTCATTCCGTGAACCAAACGTGCTGTTAAAGTTGTATTAAACACAGTAGAAACAAGATTTGTATATTTATAAAAATATTAAATGAATAAAACAAATTTGTGCAAAACAGCCAAAATGGCCGGTAATGTATATATCCCAAGCAGAATCGTAAACATGGCAAATTGGTTTTCGGTCACCTATAACAATTAAGTTAATTTACCTTTTTTAGTCTTTTGTGAGTTAAAGTCACAATGCAAGATTTACACAATACACACTCTCGTAGATAAAAATTTTTTATGAACCATGGTTCACATAGTTGTGTGAACCATGAATACAATGTACATTTTTAATATATTAAAAATACATCATTTGTATACTGAATGTACATTATTTGATACTCCATAAGTCTGTAATATACAAAATAATGTACTTTCTATTTATGATCTATATAGTTGTGTAGAGCATAATCTATAAAATAGTGATTGGTACCCTCAGCAGTAGCTGGAGTTCCCTGGTCACTCAAAAAAATACATAAAATGATTATTAAAGTACATACAAGGTAAAAGCCAAAAATAGAAAAAGAAAAATCTCGCAACATATATAATTCTATTAATGTATGTTATTGTGGATCTAGCGTCTACTGGAGTGGTGATTGCAGGTGGTAGAATCTGAACTTTGGGACAAAAGCTCATCCAAGAGCTCAGGACCCAAATCCTCAAACACCACAACATGACTACTACTACTACTGTTTTTCTTAACTGATCTTTTCGTCGTCCTCGTACCATCGAATCTTGTGGAGTTGCTACATGATGATGATCGCTTCTTGTTGTTCTCCTTTAGGGCATCAACCGGCGACGACCCAGACTTGCAGCTGCACTTGATTTCCTGTAGAGATTTCCGGACTCTCTCCGACGGGAAATTCAGGTAGGTTGAGGGGCCTCGGATCAAGAATGCGGCTTGGTCGTAAGCCAATGCGGCATCCTCGGCGCTGTCGAAGGTCCCAAGCCACACTCTCATTCCGTTCCTCGTCGAATCTCGTATCTCCGCCGCGTATTTCCCCCACGCCCGCTTCCGTACCCCCACGTACTGTTTCTCCTCCAACTCCGCCGCCGCCGCCGCCTTTACTTCTTTTGCGACAGAAGCTTCGGGTTTTTGCGACGATTTGACGCCGCCCTTGTTCATAAAGCTGGATATGATGATTTCGTCTTCTTCTGCACTTAGGCATAACGCATCATTATCCCATTGATCACAATCAAATGGAATTGCATTAATATTATCCCAATGCAAATCTTCCATCTTTGAATTGATCGAATTCTTTGAGGGCTCCCTCTCTTTGTCTTCTGAGTTTTGACAATCGAAAATGATTGGAAACATATCGTGTCATCATAGGATTTATATTGCTGCCTTATGGTATTGTTTATTATATTTTGAATGGTTTAAGGAAGAGTATACTAAGTTAAGTAATTAATGAATATAAAATAGCCAGGTTCTAGGAAAGTGCCAGGCTGGGTAAATTGTCTTTAAGTGAGTATGAGGGGGACTATTATTAGAGGGAGGAGTACAGTAATCGTGCATCATAATTCATAATTTAAGATTAGTGGAATAATTTGTGTGTGGATGGTTTATAATACTTTAATCAAGAGTAACTAACTAATAATAAGTTAAATCTTGCTATATTTTATTCATTCCAATATAATAATATTTACATTAAATAATAGTATTTTAATTTATTAGTCAATAGTATTGAGATAATACTGCTTTTCATTCTTCAAACATGGTGTCTGGTATCCTCACTTTTGGTCATTAATTTTCAATTTGGCAACTTTTATTTATCCACTCTCAGAGGAATAAATAATCTAAATGCTCAATTGCTCAGTGCGCACAAGGAAACTGTCCATTTTAAACATAATCTTTACATTATCACCGATGAAGATTCAAACCTTGATCTCTTCTCCCAAATACTGCTTATTAAACCAGTGTGCTAAACTCGTGCGGACAATCTTTCATCAAAATCTGACGGAGGGATTCCAGCGAATGCAACTCCCAAGCATGGCAAAGTGAAACATTTCACTAGGAAGTCCGAGCTCACCTGACAATGTGATTATATTTGACCAATCTGAGTTTCTCGATTTTTATAAAGTAACTTAATTTGGTCTAAAATGTCTCAAATACATTTACTTTCACCAAAATTCACTCTTTGTCAATTGAAGGCATTACAAATATAATGAACATATATAATTATGTAGATTTAAAACCGTTGAAAGGTTAAAAGTGATTAAACTAATTGTCAAGAACTTAAAATAGAAATGACATTATATCTAATTGATAAATCAAAAGTGATATTAACTTTAATTCCATTCGTATTCATCAATTTGATACTTTTTGACATGATTTTATGTTATTAAGTAATCTCGTAAAACCAATCAGTTTGTAAGTAACTAAAGGAAACTGAAGGTTATACTAATATGGTGCGACTAGATAATTATCATCATTTCACATTCAAAAAAAAAAAGATAATTATCATCATTTCAATTTTTTTTTTTTTTTTTTTTTTGAAACATCATCATTTCAATATTCTAAGGGCTAGCTAAAGCTAGCCGCCAATAGCCATCGAATTTGTCTTAGCTTCAAAACCATGGGCTGCTCGGTCAAGGTTTGTCAACCTATTAACTTATTAAGGTTGAGTCGTTGAGATTCTTCTTCATTACATCACATCAATCTATCACTCATAAACATTAGATTTACACATGATGATGAATATATATATAAATATGCCTCCTAAACTGACTGAACTAGCAAGCATCAACTTATAATATAATTTGCATCCTCTAATAATCATATCATAAATAATTGTCACTTCTTCGATCTCAAGTTTTTTGTTATCCAATTTACTACGCATATAGATCTTAGTATAATTGCATCATAAAAAATAAAATAAAAAATTAAAAAAAAAAAGGGAAAAAAGGGCTAAATAGACCCTCAAACTTTACCTCAATTAACCCCCTAAATTTTTTAAAGTAACAATTAAACTCATCAACATTGTATTTTGGTGCAACGAAGCTCAAAAGTCGATTAGTGACTTGCAATAGCAGGTCACTAGATACGATTGATGAATAATAAAAACTCACTATAGAAATTTTTGTTCTCATATGGTATGTGTAGACCAAAACGATCCATGACTACCAACCCACCTCCAATCGTAATAAATACTCTATAAACAGCTCATTGCTTTATCTCCTTTAAACTTACTTCCTCCAATTATATATTTTGAAAAACTTAGATAGTTCCTTTCTCTTCGCGGTCAAAATCTCAATGGATACGTTGATGTCATCACATTTCCTTGTGCCCGGATTCCTTTATTTAGGCTCCGGATAGGTATTTTGTTGTAGCCAATCTTGCAGCTGAAATTTGGGTCCGTCAAGATTCCTCTATTTTGTCCATGCATGCTCATCTTGTCTTTGTCCAATGAAGTTATGTATGTTGCTGCGGGAGATGCCACGTCCTGGGCCTTATGGCAAGCTATTGAAGTTGCATTTGGGTACACATCATATGCACGATCTCTGAGTTTCCTTAGTCAGATGTAGTCTTTGCACTAAGGGAATTCCACTACGAGTGAGTATCATGGCAAAGTCAAGGTTTTAATTGGACTACTTGAAAATTAAAAGCCGATCGATCAATTGGTTTAAATGAGCAGAATATATACATGTTTAAAGATTTCCACCCTAAGTACCTTGCAATGGTATTTGCATTGACCACAAAAGAAAATGTGACAATTGATCAACTAAATGACTATTTCACCGTGCATAAGTTCATCTACACTGATGACATTCCTCTAGATCTGTCGGCTTCCCCACAGCCACCTGCAGCTCTTGTCACTCAACAATCAACATGGACTACTTGCCACCTCACGACTAAAGTAACCTGCTCAGAAACCCCATGGTTGTAGTCGTGGACATAGAATTCAATGCCCTACTGCACAACAACACCTGGAAATTGGTTCAACCTGACCCGAATATGAATGTGATAGAATGCAAGTGTGTGTTCTAAGTTAAGAGAAAGGCCGATATCAATTGAACGTTACAAGCCTCGACTTGTTGCCAAAGTGTTCAATCAAGTTAAATGATAAGATTACTTTGACACTTTCAGTCTAGTGGTTAAGTCAATTACAATAACACTTATCTTATCTCTTGCCATAACCAGAAACTAGTTAATTCTCCAACTTGATGTTCACAATGTCTTTCTAAATAGTTCACTAAGTGAGAATGTTTTAATGAAGCAACCACAAGGCCACATAGACAAAGATTTTTCTAATCATGTTTGCAAACTACAGAAATCACTCTATGGCTTGAAACAAACACCTCGTGCATGGTTCAAGCGTCTCCATGATTGCTTACTTTCAATCGGCTTCAAGATTTCAAAAACATACGCATCTTTGTTTATCTATTCAGCTGCTAACACTCGAATTTATTTATTGGTTTATGTTGATGATATACTAATAATGGGCAACAACAAAGGTCTCTTGATCGACTATTATTACAAATAGGCTAGCTGATGTCTTCAAAATAAGATATTTGGGACCACCAAGGTTCTTTTTGAGAATAGAGACAGTTAACAACAAGAGGGCAATAATTATGTCACAAAGAATGTATATGATTGAAATAGTCAAAAGGTCGGGAATGGAATACGTATTGCAAACCAATCTCAATTCGAATTCCAGTCAACAATAAGCTAAGTGCAACAAGTACAAGTCAACCATATGAGAATCCTACACAGTACTACTGCCTTGTTGGAGCACTTCAGTACCTAACCATCACTCGTCTAGATCTATCTCTCATTTGCAGTTAACAAACTTTGTTAGTTCATGCACTCTCCAAACACTAAGCAGAGGGTGGCACTCAAAAACAAGTTCTAAGTGGTTTTGTTGTCTTCATTGGAAAAAATTAATCTCTTGAACTTGTTGCAAACAAAAGATAGTGGCTAGATCCTCAACAGAAGCTTGATACAAAGTCATATCAGATGTCTCAGCAAAAGTAATATGGTTAGTTGCTCTCATTCATGAACTTAGACTCACACTAGCAAAACCACCTAAACTTTTATGTGACAATCTTGGTGCTACGTACCTATGTGCAAATCTTGTTTTTCATGTCCGACCTAAGCATGTAGAAATAGACGATCACTTTCTTTGTGATAAAGTAGCACCAAAGAAGTTACAGGTGAACTACGTATCTACAAAAGACCAACTTGCAGACATTTTCACCAAACCACTCACCATTGCTAGATTCAATATTCTAAAGAACAAGTTCAATGTTTTCTCTAGAAAACCTTAAACTTGAGGAGTATTAGAAATCTGTATTTTATCAGGTTTAAAATTTCACTCTATCTCTGTATATTATTGTAATTATTGTAAATTTTCTTTTATTAGTCATGTTCTAGTTAGGAATATCTCTTATATCTCTATAAATACATCTCTTCTTGTATTTTATAAACACGATTAATCAAGGGAAAATAGCACTTTTTCCCCCTGAGTTATATACCTATAGCATTTTTTCCCCCTAAATTATTGAAGTGGCTGTTTTTCCCCCTGAAATGTTAAATGGACATATTTACCCTTAAACTAAATATTTAATTTATTTTTTTCTCCAACAAATTATGACCATAATTTGGTTCAAACTAAACAAACACTATAGCAACCAAACCGAAATATTCCAATTACAATTTAGAATCGAAATTCGATATTTAGAGTTTATTAAAATCGTGAACCGGAACGGACGGTTCATGTTCCGAACTGAAAAAATAAAATACATTTATTGTGAAATTTAGACTATTTTAAAATAAAAAGTAAAATTTTAAAATAAAGACGGTTCAAAACCGCGAATGAGATCCAGAACCGCCGGTTCACGGTTCAAGATTCAATTTTTTTGATACATAATTTTAATAAATTGACATTTAAATATTGGGTTCTAGATCTGAATTATAACCGTAAACTATTAATTCGATTGCTTTAGTATCCGGTTCAATTCAAATCGAACCGTGGTCATCCCTACGTATACGCAATAATTTGTTGGAGTAGTAAAATAAATAAAATGTTTACTTTAAGGGTATAAATGTTAATTTAATATATCAAGCGGAAAAAGCACCACTTTTAGAATAATTGAAGGGGCTAATGTGCTTACCTAAATAATTGAGGGGGAAAAAGTGCTATAAGTATATAACTCAGAGGTAAAAAGTGCCATTTTCCCATTAATCAATAATAAAAAACTCTATATATAGAAATTCTTATTTTAACCATTAGTACG